ACAGTTAAAGTACCTGTGTTGACTTCCATGACTCATTGAAATGGGCTTAGTGTTGCTTAAACTTCTGATTTTGTGTTTGCTTTTAGGATTTTAGAACTTTTCATATATGTGGCTTGTTTTCCCTCCACCCCTGACTCACCTAACGTCAACAATCTTAGTTCTGTCTGCAGTTTTACCTTTATTGTATTCTATGGTTCCGCTGTACATAATTTCTGACAGCTCTTTCTCACAGTTTAGTAGTTTCCTCAGAAGTCTGTGCCAAAGTTATTAATCCTTGCCATATTAAATGTCCTTAGGAAGAAAGCGAGGCAGTTAGCTGAGAGTTAACTCTGAAATATGTGTCATTCATCTCTGTTCTCATTGTTTGAACTGCAGGTACTTGTGAGATGATGGAGTGTACTTTGGTCCTTCATTGATCAGCATGGCTGGATTTCTTAGAGGCAGTGAGAATGTGGTTTATGCTCAACTCTTACCTTTAGTGGGCAAGTCTAAAGTTTTGACAGCCTAAGTGGCTCAAGACTTCTAAGTATAAGAATTTGTGGGATATGCAGGAGTAAAAGGCATGAAGTTCATAAAAGTCACAGGAAATTACTTATATCTGTGGCTTTCCTACTAAAACAAACAACCCACCTTGGACTGTGCTTGTGCTGTCCTCTGACCTGATTATCCACTAAGTAGTTCAATATGTATTCTGAAGTCATAAAAATAAGGATGAAGGATGTTTCCAATATCACTAGGTGAGACTATGCTGATTTCAAGGAATTCAGCGTTTAATACCAATATGCTATGGGAAGATGCATTCTTGTTTGTTATCTTTGATAATACTTTATACCAGTTCATACAAACAGATTTGTTAGTTCTGCTCAAAGTCAGGGTAAAAATGTTAAATATTTATTAAAGTGTCTCATTATCTAGATATTGTTTAGGCTCATGTGCCCGACATGCTTCTCTTGAAGTAATGTTATGGTTTTGCTAATTTAAACAGATCTTGTGGTAGATTACATATATTGAGTCAACTTGCATCTCTGTCTTCAGAAAATTCTGTGTGTGTGGTTTCTGTGATAGAAAATGAGGTGTGTGATATACATATCTCCATATCTCCAGTATTTGCTAAGCAAAATCTGCTTCAGCTTTGTGTATGTGAGCATTTCTAGTTAAATATATATGAAATGTGTGGAACTATGTCAAATCATTTCATAGTAACATAGTAGGCATATCTTTTGACATTTGAAAGAAACATCTCAATAGTACATTGACAACTGTAGTTTTCTTCCAGGATGCTTCTACTTGAAAAGGCAACTTTGAAGGAAATCCAGGCAACTCTAAAGAAAGCAAGTTGGATTTTATAATACAAGTATTTTTTTCTGATTATGTTAATCTGACTCAGCCTGACAGTGTCCTCCAAAGGCCATGGCAAAGCATAATCAGGCAGTCTCTCTAAATTGGAATAACTCTAAAATCTTCTAAAGATGCAAATGTAGCTATCAGCCAAGAGTTTGAAGAGTTCTTTCAAAGATTAGTTTTTAGTAGCTCAGATTTTTGTCTGCTAGTCCGTATTTGAAGAAATGTGTTTGAAGATTATCAAATCTAGCTGTAAAATACCATTTTTCAAGTGAATTGGGCACTCATGCATTTTATAGATGTCATTAAATGTCATGTTGCCAAAGAGTTGCTTGAAGCTAAATTATAAATGGGTTATATTATGCATTCTCAAAGTATTTGCAGGCACAATCACTGTGTATACAGGAAGGTAAGTTTATGTATGCAAACAGGTACATAGGCTAGAGTAATTGGGCAGATTGGCTAATTATGTTTCTAGGCAGACATGCACAGTTTGGTATATGCAAATTAATGCAATCACAAACATTCCTGATAAATGAAGCCCATATATTTCATTTTACCCTTTAGGTGTCAACAATGTCACATAAGGTGGAGCTTGCATATTCAGTAATAGTTATTTTACAGATACCAAAGCCCTCTTCAGGAAATTTAGAAAATTTCAGTGGAAGAGGTTGACTTTCATGTGGCATCATATATTTATTGTGACAGCATACTAACTAGAGTGTTAAATTGTATTTGCAGTAGAATCACAAAATTAAATGGTAAAATTTTGTTAGCTGCAAGTTGCAGTGATATGGATTTTTTTCTTGCATATTGAATTATAATAAATACAAGGAAGAAACAAGTGATTTATTAAAGTGAAGTAACCAACTTCTTTGCTATTTTTTTCTTGTCTAACATTTTAAAAAATAAAAATGTATTGCTTTATCTGCATATCTCACATAAATGATAACCAGTTATTCATACTGGGGTTATATATTGTACTTACTTCATGATATTGTGACATGCATCAATGATCTTAATTCAAGATGATTTATGTCATCACAGTAGTTTCTCAGTTATTTCCATGTAAACAGTTTGTATGCTAGCTCATTGCCTAGCTAAAAAAAAATAACCACAACACCTGGTTACATTGAAATAGTCAACAGAAACAAATCTGGTGCAGTTAAATAATGGTGAAAGGCAATGTTTGAGTACATAAGTAAAATGCATTTTTCATGTATTTTATGAAATGCACATATCTACCATAACTATCATTAAAAATACTTTTAATTGACTTTTCATATTTGCCGATCATCTCAATGACTGACAATCAAAACCAGCTATTCAGCATCTTTGATAATACAGAATCTAGTTTCAACATCATTGTACTAAAACTTCTGAATAAATATCCGTACAGTCCATTTCCATGATGAGGTATTTCTGGATTAATAACTTCAGAGTATCACTTTTTATGATTTGTTTATCATTGTACACTCCATTTCAAGTTTGGGGGAAAAAATAGATTTTTTTACAAAAATATTGTTAGCTATATAGAAACCCAGTTTTTGATAACAGGGAAGGTCTCAGGGGACTGCTGAAGGTCTCAGGGGACTTCTATGTAAAACAAGAAACGTAATGTTCTTCATCTCAAATGAGTACCCTGGAACACTCTTCCATTAAAAACCTAACAAAACAGAGGTTAGTTGAGGGAAGGCAATCTATCTGACTGCATCAAATAATTTCTGTTTTTTTCATAACCTCTTCACTTGTCACAGACCTGTGATTTCTCTGTTCTGAGTTTATTCTAATTTCCATTCTCCTTGTGACCCTTTGAGACACATCATTCTCTTTTTCTTCAGGTGATTTTACTTATCTCCATCCTAAAGGGCTTTTTTTTTTACCTTTTTTTATCTTTCTCTGCCTTTTCTTGTCTTTATACATTGAGGGCATGCACAAGAGTGCACATATACTAAAGTACCACTATTCCTTTCTTCGATACGTTTTAGGCACCTACACCCAAACACTGTGTATCTCTCAAATTCTGCTTCCAGTTTCTGTTTTTTACTGTTGTCAGTGAGCTTCTTTGTGATGTCTGGAACTTTTGAAATTGATTTGTGCAGCATTTTGAAGTTACTCTATCTCTGATAAATAGAAATTGCATCGGGTTGATAGTTGGGACACTGGTCTTGTCACTAGCTTCAGGCTACTGGGGCATTTCTGGATAATTGTTAGCTATGAAAGAAAAAAGAAGAGATGGATGCAGCCATCTATATAATCTAATGATCCTGGATCTCATGTAAATGATTGGAAAACTCTCAGTCAAGTGAGACGAACAGCAATAGTCAGATTATTACTATATATTATACATAAGCAAAGATACAGTTCAACTTTACTTTTTCTTACTATAATAGAATTAAGGTGGTTTTTTTTAGTCTTCAAATGATGCAACTCAGCAGAAAGGATTGTTCTTTATTCTTAATTAGGGTGGTATGTTTGAATTTTTTCCTTTTTTAATACTTCCTGGTAGACATAAAAACTTCCTGTATTGATATTTCGCCACTCATTACTAGCAAAATATTTCTAGATTATCTGTTGGTGAACCAACCTGAAAGAGTTCTGCTCCATTAAAGAATATTTGATTTGAGTTTTTTATAGGTTTGAACATCTGTTTGTGTCCTGATAAATCATTGCTATATTCTAAGTGTAATCAATTTTAGATTACTCACTAAGATCCTAAGCAGAAAACACAGAATAAAAATAATGCGTTATTGTTTAATTTTTTTTTTATTTATATGCAAGAAGTTAATATGTAAAGCAAATTCTTAGGTCAGTCTGTGAACTGGGCAACTCTCATAAAACAACTATTTCAGGATACAGTGGCTGCTAAATACTTTCATAGTGGGAAAAAACAATTGGGAAAACTAATGAATAAAAAATAATTCAAAGCTACAGAGAAGAAGCATGTCTGTCTGAAGATGGCCATGTGCCACAAACTGAAAGCTACCAAGGTATTCTGAAGAAGCATCACTAAGTTATGTTAGACTTTTAGTCTGACCCAATCTAGTGAAGTTAAAATGATCCATCTAGCTCTAAGTATCTGTTTGTATCAGCATGCACATATATGCTTTTATAGATTGATTCTGTGCCCTAGTGGATTACCTTTTCTTTGCCCTTTGAACTTTGAGTGTTGACTGAATTTTACAAATTATAATCTGTGAAAGGCAGTGTTCAAAGTGGGACAGACAGTACTCTTAAGGGCCACCTACCTTTTTCTATAGAAGTATTTATTTTATAATTTTCTGAAACTTAAATGTTGCCTCCTTAAACACCAGTATTGATACAACAGTTCTATTGATACTATTTAATAACAAAAAGAAGAGTAAGTGCCACATAAGTCAGACATCTTTCACTCATCAATAAGTGTAACATTCACCAAAGCATCATCTTAGTCACCTTTTCCTACTAACATGTCTTAGAAAGTGAAATCACTACAATGAATAATGTACAAAGGTGAGCAAGTGTATACCAAAGACATCGACAGCTCTTCACTTAGAAGAAAACTTTGTGATGTGAATTACTTATGGCTTACTGTTTGTAAAGGCTCATTGAAATACCCTGAAATATGTTCAATTTTTACTACTGCTTATCAGAATTACATACTTTTTGTTTACTTACAGTATGAAAGAGGCTGGTTTAGGCCATAAACAGTGGAGGGGTGGTCCCATTTCATCAAACTGCAAGCAGTGTCCAGTAGTTTATACCAATCCTGTTTGTGGATCAGATGGTCACACATACTCATCTCAGGTAAGAATTAAAGAAAGAACTAAATTAATCTTTCATTGTTCCGGTCCATTCCAGCTCTTGGAAAACAATATACTGTATTATAACAGAAATCAATATTTATTTGTTTTGGCTAATATATATATTGCAGACTGCAATTTACAACAATTCTAGTGTATTGTGTGATAAAAAAGCAAAATAGTAGCAAATCCTAAGCAGTGTAAACCACTAATCCCTGGAGTAGCACAGTGTAAGAGTGCTCCACAATACAACAGAGCTCCAAAAAAAGTCTGTCTGCAACAGACACCATGGCAGGATTTTGAGTATCCCAGTTGGGGATAGGATAGGTATTTTAAGTCAGATTTTCCAGTTGACCATTAAGGGTATGCTTCACGTTGCGGGTACCTAGACAACCTAGATGTAACATACACAGAAAGAAAATGTAATAATTTAAATAATTTTTGTATATCTTTCCTTGCAACAGCATTTTTTGACTTTTCAGATCATAATCAAATCTTCCTTCTGTAGTCCTAAACCCTCCTTTCTTTTCTCTCATACTTATTTGGAGACAGAATAATAATTTTAAAATGTTACTGTGAGTTTACCCAGTCTTTTTTTGGAGGAAAAATGTTGTGCTGCTCATTCTGAAGTCCAGAAATCATGGGACTGCATTAGTAGAGCATAGAAACTTGTGAGATGGCGGGACTTCGTAACGCTGAAAACAAATTAATTTGTTTAGCATCCTTTCTTAAAGCTTTCAGTAGGAGAATGTTCTGCCAGGATTAACAACTGAATCCTCTCTAGCAGAAAAAAATGTGGGCTTTTTTTCTCAGAAACAGCATGCAATTCAGTAATGTGAGAGGAGCTACTGTATTCTGTCTTACTGACACTGTAGCCTTACACTAACAAATTGTTTCATTACTAGATAATATCCAATGCTTCAAGAGAACTATAGTAATAGATTAAATTGATGGAGGTGGGAAAGCTCTGTGTTTGTTACTTATAAAGAAAAAAATTCCATATAGCTTTTTAAACAAAATACATGTATGATATTTCCTATTATTTAAAGATTTTTAGAGTCACCATTTGCTATATAGAAGTTTTTGTTTGTTTTTTCACTGTAATCACAAACTACCTCTGAAGCTGACAAAACAGAATTATTTTCCAGGAGTGACTGACTGTTGGATTCAACACTAAGTATCCTCTCCATGGATAGTTTCTTCTTGATAAAATAAAAACATCAGATATAATTAGTGCTTCCTAAACCCTGAAAATTCTTTTGCTTTCGTCCTAAATCTAATGTTAGAAATGTTTTTCTTACTACTTTGAATATTTAATTATAGGGATTTGGTCTAGAATCCTAATTTTCCTTTAAATAAAACAATTAAAAATTTCTAATACTTAGCCAGGATATCTGAGGCCTTACACATGAATTTTGGACTCCTTGGCTTAGCAAGAAAATAATTCCTTTCCGTGACAATATAACTTTAATTTAGGAATCTGGAAAGTATTCTTATTTTCATTCGCAGTAATCTTCTGGCTATGGTTTTGTTTGTGTTTTTTTTTTAATGAGCTAGAAGTGTGCCGACATTTTACTAGATGTTAGATGATACTGTCATTTAGTATTTATTTTGCCTTGCCATGTGAAAGTTCAGTCAGTCTTTAAGTCTAAGCCTAGCCTGCACATAAATATAAAACAGATGGTGGTCTCTACAATTTTGATATTTAAAGATGAGGTAGATAAGTTGATATAGATGATACTGGATGAGCAACTTTTTATTTTTTAAATACTGTATACATGACCCATTACAATCTCTCCCTGTGTTCTTCCTCATGTAATAAAAACATCACCTCCAGTTTTAACCTCATTGCTTCTGTCATATTATATGATATAGGAATACTGTATTATAAATAGTCTTATAGATAGAAGTGATCCTTCAGGCCTCTCATCGTCTGGTCTGAAGTAGGAGTACAGAAGTCTATAAACATTGATGAGATATGCATATTTTTAACTCAGTTCATGTGATAAAGGTGAGGCTGTGCTTATCAAATGGAATGATGAGATATAACTGGATTAAATAGACATACTGTGCTTTTATCCTAGTGTGTTGTCAGTGGTGCAGTCAGTTTAGTGGTACATTATCCAATCTCCATGTCCCTTCATGCATATAATGCAGAAATAATGAAGCATTGGAGAGGTTTTGCAGTGTTTTCCTTTTGTCTTCCACTACCTCATAATGGTAGATTTCAAATCTAAGTTTATGGCAGCAAAATGCTTAAAAAAAAAAAAAGTGATTACCAGAGAAGATCTGTGTTAGCCTAAAATATTTATTTTTATTTCTTTTCAATGATGTGAGGTTTCTGTAGTGCAGTTTCATCAAAACAGAGGTCCCCTTGTAAGGTCATTTCAAGAGCAGTGGTTTTAAAAATTGACATAAAGACAAATATTTGTGTTCCTTTACTCCAGGCAAAGTTTAGTTTCATTGTGTCATCAAGCTCCTGTAGGAGTTCATACACCAATTTTCTTGTATTTAGAATGCATTCATCAATGACTCTGGAAAATTGTATAATACATTTTCTGAAAATAAGTCATTAAATAGTAGTAGTATTGTAGAACACAGCCAGGCAGTTGACAGGGATCAGATGGATGCTGTTTTGGAAGTATACTCTCGCTTTTCAGGATAAGCCCATGCAAATGCTTCTATATAAGTTATGTAACTAGAGATATTTCATACATGTGTTTTGCTTTGGAAAACAAACAAAAAGATTATATAATAGGTGGACTATCTAGAAGGAAAGGTTATCTTCTAAACTGAGTTTTTCCAGAGTTAGGTAAGGATGTTTTCCACTAATTTTAGCAGACCAGGTTATGTTTACCAGTTTCTAAACCCACAATTAGTCACATGCAGTCAGTGTAAAAGAAAAGTAGCAGATGTGAGATATTCATTATTAGCATTACAAGAATGTTGAAATAAAAACATTACATGCTGAAATGTTGACTAATCAAAGTGAACATTAATCATTGTGTGAGAAGAAATTCAGTATAAAGACATCCTGCCAGGATTTTAACTTAATAGCCTTTAAAAAAAATTTGTGTTTTACACGTGGTCTGTTTTTACCTTTTGCGTTGCTCTTAACTTTGGCGCTTGAAAGTGCAGTTTGCATTTTTACACTTAGGAATTCTCAAGTATCATTAGGGCTTTAGTACCCCTATATACTTGACATTTTCCATGAAAAATGCTCATACAGCTTTTGCAGCCTGTTTCTAGTTTCATCTTACCTGGCATTAAAAGAGAAGTAAAAAGGACATGGAGTGCACTTCAGATGGGGTGTTTTGTGGAAGCAAACCACCTGCTGCCATTCTTTTACCCAGAGATGCAACTCAGTGCTGTGCAGCACACATTGTAAAGCTGGTGTAACTGTGGATGAGATGGTGATGCTCAGACTTGGATGCTTCTGTCGGAACACTTCTCCATTATTGTACTATATTATAACTGGACCTTTTGAAAAATGACCTTGAGGAACAAAAGTACGGTCATGCAGATGGAATTGTCTTTTGTGTGGTTTGTGCATATTTTGATTACAGCTCTGGTATTTGTTATAATAGGCTGAAGTTTTCTCTCTAAAGTTGAATGTGGTTGACAATTAGTTTTGCTATAACAAAATCTAAACTTAAATGAGATCAATGAACAGTGCTTTGAGTATTTTGAAAGGAAAACACCACAAAAATAAATTAATCTTCCAGAATCACTTTGGCAGTTTAGTCTTAGCAACAATTTGCTCAAGATGGTTTCATATTGATTGTGAATTTTTTTATGAAATACATTTTCTCCTAACTAAACTTCATGTTATGATATCCCTGCATGTGTAAATAGCAAGAAAAATCATGTTTTGCAAAAGCAATGGGTCTAAACTAGCTTATCAGACTGAGATGGAAAATGTATAGAAAAGTAATCTGAAAAGAGGATAAAAATTCTTGAAAGGCTATACAGATAGGCAGGTATGTGGTTTTCAGTTTTTTAATATTCAAATATTTTCTTCAGTCTCCCAAATTATGATTCATTTCTCATTAGAAGTGTTGAAAGAGAGTCAGTGGATAAAATCCAACTGTGTGAAGGGCTGAGATTAATACTGGTTGTTTACTCCGTCCAAATTTTGTTTATTGTTCAGCATGAACCTAAATTGCTAGATTTTTATTCTTATGACATCCCATATTTAACATTTTTATTTTAAAAATAATTGCTACCTTTATTAATTTCAGGTATTTTTAAGACTTTTGCTTAATAATCTATATCTCTTAGTGTATAAGACAGCTCGTATGGAGTGAGCATAAAATATATGTAATAATGTTTTTATCTTTGATAGTATTTTAAAAGATTGTGGTTTTATAAAAGTTAAATTTAATAAAATATGTTAGTTAATGTATTTTGAATTTTCAGGTCAAATGCCTGAGCTATTGACAGATCTTTTCTGCTTCAGAAGCGATTGCTAGAAATAGAATTGCCATTACAAAACAGATGTCTATTTTGTAATAGTAAACGAAAGTAGTTTTCACAAGCCTGATTCAATGTATGTCAGTCTTGCTTCTTAAATTGGGCTAATCCACTATGCCTTTCCATTTTTATCTGCCCTGTTACTAAGGAATCCACTGTAGATTTAACTGTCAATTGAAATGTAGCCAAAAATAATAAGGTTAAATCATTGCCTGCCATCTTTAGTAATAAAATAATATAATCTCTGAAATAAACTATTTGACAGCATGCAGGTCTTTGGTTTTGTAGCTGGAAGAAGCAGCTTCTTCCTGGTGCTCTGCTAGCATTGGTTTGTTTTTCCATTAAAAGTGGGTTTTGTCAAAAGAGACCTCTCAAAACTTTAGATTTGTGTCTCTACCCCTAGCAATACCCAGCCAAAATCATCCTGTTCAAAGTAGAAAAATGTAATCAAACAGAACAAAGTGTTTAGCTTCTAAAAAGATTCTCTTAGATACTTAGATTCTCTTGTTGATGCCGGTCACATTTATACTT